TCTGAAGCCTGCCAAACTGCCAAGCCGTCGTCCCGTCATGCGAATAACTTGACACTTGTTTGGCGTTTACTGTGTTTCTATACAAATCTGCTAATTGGAATAAGAAATTCTGGATCCAGCTGCTCTCGCTCATCTGACTTTTAATACACAGCCCTGGCTGAAGAAACAGCTGATCGTAGACATAGTAACAACGCTAGACTTTCATTAATTTTACCATAGATAAAAGGAATATTTTACATATCGTATTCACTTTCGGTTTAGAATAAGCATTTAAGGGTGCGTTGCTGTTTTAAAAGTGTTATTGATCCATTCGATCGAGGATAAAAAATAGTAGTCCATCGATTGTTTGTTTCCCTTGGCGAGTAGATGGAGGGTTTTCCAACATAGTTGGCAAAGCAAATTGCCAATGTATGCAACGTGTTATCTCATTGGCACCAACTACCTCTCAACAAATTCCACATTGACACTCGTGACAAAAGACTGTGTTGACGAAGTAGTAGTAGTGTCATGCTAATGCTGTGTTTTGTTTTGTTGCAGGGGTCATGGTCTAGCAAGAGTCCCGGCAGTACAGCCACAGACAAGGCTCCGGCCTCCTCGGTCAGTTCACTAGTTATGTAAATTGTATTGACGAATTAACTTTACTGTAGGTTAAAATTTGAGTGTTGGTTAACTAAAAAGAAAAAAAATCAATTAAACGCTCTTTATATTAACTAGACTATTGAATTTAAATAGTCCCTTTGACTGTATAGCATAAAAAGTATACAGTGTTATGGTGTATAGTCAATGGTAGTCTGTGTCAATTATGTATCTGCAATTCTAAAATGGTATATAGAAGAAGGGCAAACAGGTCCACGACGTAGGGAGTGGTGAAGGATGTAGTAGCATTGACTAATGGTATATTTGGATTCAGGACGTAAAAAACTATAGACTATATGTATATATAGTCAATGGTAGGAGGCTAAAGGTGAGCAGTGTGGAGTTTGGGAATAGATATGCAATACTAAACTGTTTTCAGAGCTTTCCCCGAGCGAAGCTCGGTCCCCATGTACTATGTATAATTTGCACATCAAGTCAAAGGTTTTTTTTTAGTAAAACACAATAAAGTTGATTACACTTAACTTAATACACGAATACAAATCGATAACATATAAGTTAAAGATTTACGCGAATCAACTAGTTCACATAACAATCAGCACACTAAATCCATTACAATCAATAAACTGATAATAAATAAATTATCTATCACAACAACAGACTAATGAACAGTTTCAAACAACAGATGTTAAATCATAACACGTTTCTGTTGGAACTAAACCACGATTTAGATTGCGAAACACAAGTCACTAACCCTTGTCTTGCTATTCTCGGCGTCATCCGATCAGCTGGGCTACAATCGCCTACACCAGCTGATGATCCCGGAAATTTTATTGGTCCAGTGTTGCCAAAATGAATTTGAATGTGGTTAATACTTCACTATGAGCTATGTGCTCTTGTGTTGTTATTTTGTGGTTCCATCGATGTGGAAAATATTTAAAACAGATTATTTTGTACATATTATTGTTGGCTATTGAATTGTTGATTGTATTTATTGTTATTTCCACCTTTAATTTTTATGCTATAATTGATGTTATATTTTAAGAAAAATAATTTAATTAACGTAAGGTTACACTACAAGTTATATAAAGACTACCAACTAAGGCCCCTCGCCCACTATACGATTTCGGTCGTACGACACTGTGTCGGAACGACAACATTTCCACAGTGAACCATTGGATCTTATGAGAGCTCGCCCACTGTACGATAATCTCACGACTACGACAAACTGTCGTGAAGCAGTCGTCCACTGCCACTGTGATCCACGACTGTCGTACGACTGTTTCACTCGCAGTGGCGTACACAATCAAATGGGCGCTCGCCCACTATACGATTTTTATCGTATGTCGTGCGTTCTCCCCAGTAGTCTTATATATACTTTTTGCAATTAACTCATACTTAGTCATTATTATAGTTGTTATATCACTTTGCGTATTTTTTATCGTGAATAAATATTTTTTACAATTCATTCATACTTTTTTATTATAATGTTTGATATATCACTTGGTCTTATTTTCCAACCATTATTTTGCGTAATTTTGATGTTCCTATTTATTTTTTACAATTAATTTGTTTATATTTTTCCCTATATTATGTTTAAATACTGCATCACTTATGAGTAAATATACCAAAATAATTATTGAAAAATGCGAGTTTGGCTATTATTATTGTATAATCTTAATTATTAATTATATTGTGTAAAAAAGTTTCACTAAAACATATAAATATATATTTTTGTAGATTATATTGATAAAATTAAATCCATTTAAAAACTAATCCAAAAACAATTAACATACATACTTTTTACCAGACTATCCCAAAACCCTATGATAGTTATGGTAAATTTAAAAACTTGTAAAATGCATGGACTAATATAATTTGAAAATTTCTTTCAATACATTAACTAAAAAATAATTTACACATAAAAATAAATGTTTCTTTAATGCTGTAGGCCTACATTGGCCACTATCGCTTAATCTACGCCACAGCATCCACATTGCAACAACACGTAACGGAATCATTGTTTTACTATTTGATACAGAACCACTGTTTTAAGATATTGCGCAACACACCCACACCTCACTCTTCCATGGCTACCGAGCAACTGGCCATTTATCCGACAAAGTGTCGTAAAGTGGGCGAGGACCACACATATGATAAGAATATCGTACGACACAGTGTCGTACGACCGAAATCGTATAGTGGGCGAGAGGCCTAAGCTACACTACCATTGATGAGACCTATACTCCATTCCACGTTCACCTTGCAATACAGGTCTGATGGGGTATAGCCTTACTAGATAATACTGCAACTTGGGATCTGGATTTTGACTCTGGTACATGCAAACTTTCTATGATAATAAAAAGTGTATAATACACAAGCGCAATGTACTGCACACTTAACCAGTAATCACACCATTGTGGCACCAAGTTTCATAAAATAATTGAGTTTATTTCATCAGCTGTTCGGGAAAGTAAATTCAATTGATCAAAATACTGACATAGTAATAAGTGTAGACATAACGTCAGGTAAAGCCATTAAATGGATACCTTTAGATGGCCCACCTCTAAACTCACAAGAATGGGGCGAAACCATAAAGAAAGATAGCAATATATCAAGGAAACTCGCTGATAAAATACAATTTGCACCCACATAGTAAAGTTTAAACTTAAAATTACATTATCTTTGAAAATTTTAGATAGCTCAACCCATCCAAAGTCTAAATAATGAATGATAAATAATGTTTAGTGTGTAAAGCATTACGTAAACAAATACCCCCAACGCAGCAAACCTGCAGACCAAGCGAATTCCATGATTAATTGATTTTCTTCAAAATATTTCATTAAACATATCAAACGTTAAAAATTACCTTACGGTATTTTTGAGCGGAGCGAGCGAAGTGAGCGAAGCTCTTATACAACGACTCTTATGCATTTCGTAATACGCAAACTCCTCCTAGACGGCTGAATCAATCGTTTTCAAATTTTGCATGGTGATAAAGACCATATCGGTGAGTGCCAACATCTATATGGCGTTGAAAAAGTCTCTCAGGAATCCGCCCCACTGGGTCTCAAAGTTTCAATGTAATCCTTATGGAAGCAGTATTTGACACATAAACAAAGACATATGATCAGCTGTTGACTTTTGAATGCAGTAGATAAAGAAATAGCTGATAGCATTATAAGCTTGGGGCCCGTGACGTATAAAGTGGTTTACGAAGTAGTAAAGGTGAGCAGTCTGGAGCGCTGTTGGTGAGTTGCGGCCCAAACATCATTTTGCGTACGTCTGGAGTATGGAAACTGTTTATGACGATTAGATTAAGGTATCTGCATTCCTAAAATTCTATGGGAAGGGAGGAAAACAGGTCCGCGACGTAGGAAGTGGTGAAGGTAGTAGTAAAGACGAGCAGTCTGGAGTGTGGAAACTGTTTATGACGATTATAGGTATCTGCATTCCTAAAATTCTTTTGTAAGGGAGGAAAACATGTCCGCGACGTAGGAAGTGGTGAAGGGAGGAGTAAAGGCGAGCAGTCTGGAGTGTGGAAACTGTTTATGACTATTAGATAAAGGTATCTGTATTCCTAAAATTCTATGGGAAGGGAGGAAAACAGGTCCACGACGTAGGAAGTGGTGAAGGAAGTAGTCAAGGCGAGCTGTCCGGAGTGTGGGAACTGTTTATGACGATTAGATTAAGGTATCTGCAATTCTAAAATGCTATTGGAAGGGAAGGAAACAGGTCCGCGACTTAGGAAGTGGTGAAGGAAGTAGTAAAGACGAGCTGTTTGGGGTGTGGGATCTGTTTGTGACCATTAGATTAAGGTATTTGCAATCCTATGATGCTATGGGAAGGGAGGGAAACAGGTCTGCGACGTAGGAAGTGGTGAAGGAAGTAGTTTAGGCGAGCCGTTCGGAGTGTTGGAACTGCTTATGACGATTAGACTAAGGTATCTGCAATCCTAAAATGGTAAGGAAAGGGAGGGAAAAAGGTCCTCGATGTAGGAAGTGGTGAAGGAAGTAGTAAAGGCGAGTTGTTCGGAGTGTAGGATCTGTTTATGACGATTAGATTTAGGTATCTACAATCTTAAAATGCTATGGGAGGAGAGGGAAACAGATCCGCGACGTTGGAAGAGGTGAAAGAAGTAGTAAGGTGACCAGTGTGGCGTGTGGGAACTGGAAACCGTTTGTAGCAGTTTTAATGTATCTGCAATGCTGAAATGCTATGAGAAGGGATGGAAGCATGCCCATGGCATAGAACATTGTGAAATAAGTAGTAAAGGCTAGCAGTACGGAGTGTGAAAATGTTTGTGGCAATTAGATTAACGTATCTAAAATACTAAAATGCAATGGAAAGTGATGAATACAGGTCCACGACGTAGGAAGTGGCTTAGGAAGTAGTAAAGTATGAGCATCAGCATAGTGTGAGATCCAACTGTGGCAGTTAGATTAATGTATCCTTAATACTAAAATGCTATGAGAAGGGAAGGAAACAGGTCTATGACGTAGTAAATGGTAAAGGAAGTAGTAAGGCTAGCAGTGCAGAGTGTCTTGGCAATTACAAAAATGTATCTGCAATCCTAAAATGCTATAGGAAGAGAGGGAAACAGGTCCACGACGTAGGGGGTGGTGAAGGAAGAAGTAAAGGTGAGCAGTGTTGAGTTTGGTAATGGATTAATGTATCTGCAATGCTAAAATGCTACGGGAAGAGACTGTAGACTGTTTGTTAAAATGATTACGAAGCACGAATCGATACATATTTTCTATACATGCAATCGTTTACAAACAAAATTACCAACTGAGTTGACAACAGCTGTTTTTTACTCCATAGAGGCTAAAAACTATTTTTACTCCCTAAAGAGTAAAAATGCTACTTTAGACCCGCAAAAAAACTACTGTTTTTACTGCCGTATGACAAAAACAATATAATATGAACCCTTGATGACTCCACTCCGCTCAATTTTGTGGATGCCTCTGCGAACGCCACCTAGTAGCACATTCGTATGTTTAAAGGTAAACAAAATCTTTCCTTCATGAGATATACATTGGGATTTTGATGGCCTGTGGGGGAAAGCCCGAGGACTTTTATTACAGGAATTGGTTAAAAGGGGTGTATACACAAAAAATAATTAATTTTGACACATCGTTTGCAGGGAAAACACAATTTTGTAAACATTTTAAAGACTTTCGGAGGAAGGGCCTATTCTAAAATTCTTGAATAAGATTCTGGGTTTCCTCTACATCTCAACAATTTTCTCTGCTCTCCCTTATAAAATAACTGCTACCTATGTGTGATATTTTTTCACGTTTTTCATAAGGAATAGTTCATATCCTCTTCATTTCATCTAACGTCGACTATTTGTTAGATAGCATGACTAATAAATTTATCTTTAAAATACTGTAGAATGATTTTTAAAATTTGGCAACGTTAATGGTATTTTCAGGAAGCACAAGTAGGTTAAAAGAAAGCAGTTGACCCTTGATCGGTTCGGAACGTCGGCGTAGGAGTTATCTTTAGCAATGTAAACGGGGCCAGACGTCCGCAGAACCACGCTATTGCGGGTAACGTAAGTAAACATTGGGCCAAACAGTAAACTATTGCCCCATGGTTATTCCAACCAGTCTAGAATATCATTGTGGTAGCTAATTCCTGTGTATTATGGACTAAAAATTATGAAAACAAGCATAGGAGTCAAAATACATTCATTTGGTCAATATCAGAAGTATTCACTATACTGCTGTAAAGACCGTGTATACTGAAGAAGGTAAACTTCGCGCACTCTATCAACAGAATTAAAAGTGGAATAAAAATGATAATACATTTGTAATCCCATGTTTATTGTAAACAAAGCAGACGTTTTTCAATCACAATGCATTTAAATGGTAGATATTTTTCATTATTTATTTTTTTTTTTTTTGTAGATTTTTGTCATAATCTGCTATTTTTGTCGACCCCCTAGTCCAAGACCTTTCATTTGACCCCTCTCCAATCAATCTGCGAGCTGTCAAACTATAACAATTTTGATTTAAAAAAATCGCTGAAACAATTAATAATATAGATTTGGATGGTACTTAGGTGAGTGTTTTCTCCAAATATGAGTGAAGGATGAGATGAGGATAACATCTTACGAGTGTAATACGTGAAACAGTTTTTGTGAACACAGATCCCCCCTTAATTGTGGGCCAATTTCAACGTTTGAGGTGTAAAAAAGTTCGTTTCAATTTGTAGTTTTGAAATATGGTTTTAGAATTGGAAAAATCTTACCCTTAAGGGTGCAAGACGATCCCAAGGGCCAAAATTTCCCCATAAGAATAAATTACATTAAACAAGTTTTAAAAACATAAGGCAGCTGTTTATAAAAAGAAACTCAGTAGCTTTTTGGGAGTAAATATTGATGTTTGTAGTATTCAAGAGGTTATATACCAATGTAAACTAATCAGTTAAGTTGGAAGAACAGAAAATTCCTCGAGTTCAAGGATACAACTAATAAGAGATCTTATACGTATGAGAAGATTAGAATAAGAGAGGACTGGTAAGGAATCCAGATACTCATTCACTTGGTGAGATGAATAATATTTGCCAGTACTTACTTCTATGCGACTTACTTTGAAAAAATACACGAAGAATATACTCATCGTGTTGTCACGGTTGTAAAGTAAACTTGCCTAATGTCAGATCAAATGAATACATGCCAGTAATGTTTGCTAGTGACACTGACAGATCGAGACAATTCAAAACCTTTAGTACTATAACAATGAATTGGCTATCGTAAGTTCAAGTAATAAGATTAACCCAAACCTTAGCGGGCCTTATGTTTTTATTGCTAAATTGCCAAGTTCACCCTTTATCGTGTCCATACCACATAGATCTATTGTTAGAAAGTCTCAATATTTGCTGATAGACCAATGCAAATTTTGACAATAGTGTTCACAATCAACGCTACTCGGAATCGAACTTGCAACATGTAGATTTGAAGGCGAGCACCATAACCGCTCGGCCACTGAGACAATATTGTGTTATTGCTACTTTGGTATTGCTTGTGGTTGACTTATGAGTTTTTACCCGGTCTTTCAGCAAAATGTTGCTAATATTAAACAACCGCGTACTGAGTGTGTCGCCATAAATAGCGCACAGACACTTGCTTACTGTTGCTCATTACCTTGCCCTTGGTCGAGTCTTGGAACACTTAAATTATAAATAGTCCATGAAATTATCTCTCCCTAACAATTAGTCATCAGGACAAAACTGTGTTGTTATTCCGAGGACTGCATTTAATGTTCCACAATATAATCGCCCTTTGTGAATTCACCTTTTAATTGGTGATCAGATTTGTAATGGTGATAGAGGTTTGGTCCGTTTTTTTTCACATTAAAACACGTTGGACGCTTATTGGTGGCTGTGAATTCACTATCCCAGAGTTTCGTATCACATCGTAGTTAGTCACACACAAAGCTCTTCCTAGATTCCTAGATTACCATAAAATATACCCAGTTCTAAAGACTTTTACTTATGGGTATAACAGAGAACCCTATAATACAACGGACTAGTAAAGTTATTTTAAACTTCAGTATGTTTCTAACTTCAGGTAAAACAGCACTAGTTTGAAAGCTCCCTAATGATTTAATCTATGATTTAGTCTAACAGCTTCGCACGGGACGGGCCCGCACCGCACTGGTGTCAAAGAGGTTGTGTCACTACTTGGTCGGTTGTTTTTATCAAAAACCACTGTTTATTTATTTTAATGATTTTTAAAAAATTCAACCTCTTCAAATCATAGGCCATAGGCCTAATTAGTCTGTCTAAAATTGAAAAATCTTCTACAGACAAACTAGACCTTTTACACACTTCCTTCTTATTTGCAAATTATCTAAGATAAACCAAATATATCTTGGTATGCAAGAGATAGCCACGTAATTGAGTTTTCAAACATTAGTGGCCGACGTTGTGGATGCCTTGCAGCAATCCATCTTCCGGGCAAACTACAATTCAATACAAAATGGTACAGTAGTTTAAAAATTTGTATTACGAATTGTAAGTGATATTGTTTAAGGCATAAAATACCAGTTGTAGTAAATAAGAACAATGTATTACCACCATGTAAATACATTGCGAATGTTTCAAATGCCATTGTATGTTTCAGCTGGACCGGAGTAGTCGCTATGGATCCACCAACCTCAAGACCTCGGGAAGCACCTCCTCAACCTCCACCTCCAGCTACCGACCCCTGACGGCAACCTCGGTACGGGATAGAGCCGCCCAGCTCGATACCTCACCCACCTCCGACAAACCGTCCATCAGGGAGAAGTACGCCAGTAGGAGTTATGGGGTGGACTCGATTCTGAGGAAGAGTCCCGAGCCTAAACCCGAGGCCAAAGTATCCACGTCAACCTTCAAGAGGTACGGGTCAGGATACAGCCCGACTTCAGAAACCCCGACCCTCAGGTTCGGCAGCACCAGCAGATTTGGAGGCCAAATAGCACGGAGTCCTATCACGGAAAAGTCCCCGACTGTCTTCGGAGTTTCTGGATACTCGAGGACGAGGGACTCTAAGGATGAGAAGGAAGAGAAAAGTGAAACTCCAACGGAGATGATGACCGTCATCACGAGGGGGACGTCGCCGACTCCTCCATCTAACTCAACATTCCTACGGGCGAGGAGGGCAGAGATGGACAGAACGATAGAAAAGACGATACCGAAGTTGAAACCTAGACATACTAAATATGACGTGGAATGTCAAACGGATGAAAAATGCATAGAGGATGCAAAATTAGAAAGTAAGTTGTCAGCAGCGAGTGCTCTGACCTCAAGGACTCCATCACCGTCATCGTCATACTCTAGATTCTCCTCGGTTAACACCAAATATACTCCGAGAACATCCGCCTATCACGGTACAAGGCCGACAGAGTTGAGTTTGAAATCAATGTCGGTGAATAAGGCTACAAACCAAGAAGACGCTAAGACGGAAGAAAGTCCAAAGGACGAAAAGATCAAGAGGTTAGAGGGTAAAGACACCACGCGAATAGGAGGTTTCAGTTACGCGAGGCCAACGGATCTACCAATGGCTTTAAACAAAGCGATGGCAGACACCGATAAAGGAGATGGGCTAGTATCACCATCGAAGATTAGGAGCATCTCTCCACAAGCTCCAAAATCTCCTAGAAGTAGTTTATCGGGTGATGATATAAATAAATCGTTTAAGAGTACGTTAAATAGAGCAAGTAGTTTAGATAGGTCTAATGAAGATACTTCAAAACATTCCATTAAAGGTGAGGTACATTCACCTAGCATTGCAACAATTCCAAAAATACCTTTATCTCCTTCGATATCTTCAGTCAAGCTGACATCACCAGACAGAACGAAACTTCCTCCCCCTAGTCCAAAAGTTGAATCTATTAAGACTTTACCAAACAAAGATTTTAGAAAATCCGAATTAAATATGAATTTATCTAGTTCAAATGAATCACTAAATTCTCAGAAACTAAAAAGTCAAAATGGGTTGGAACGGTCTCCCTCAACAAAATCTCCGGTAAAGCTACAAACAAGTAAGTCATTAGCAAAATTACCATCCAATTCACCATCTCCAAAACTGGTGGCATCTCCGAATCAGCTGAAGCCTACGTTCCTTACAACAATTAAAAAGACAGATACAACAGAGTCGAGCAGTGACGAATCTAGTTCAACAGGAAGCTCGTCCGAAACCGAGAGTGAGTCAAGTGAGAGTGAAAATGATGAGCCGCCAAATCTCAAATCAAACTCTTTGACATCTAAATTAGCTGGTTCAAAAATAAGCCTAGCTTCATCAAGAACATCTGCGCAAATGTCATCGGCTGATGAAGCATCCGTTTCTACGGATAAACCCCCGAAACCACCAGGTATAAAAACAGTCAAAGATGACAAGCGGAATGAAGAAGCCAAAGCTGTTGTAGGTAAGGCTCTGGCCCCAGTGACTGCTCCTATGAAGGTGAAGTACTCGGGATCGAGCGCCGATGAAACCTCTGACAAGGACAATTCAAAAGTTTGTACAAAAGGTTCTAAACCTCCAAGCCCAATAAGTAACAACAAATTAGAGAAAAGCTCTTCTAAGACTTCCATTTCCAGTGAAAAAAGTGGATACAAAATTCAGCCCGTTCAATCAGGCGAAAAAACGCGGTGGTCACAAAATTCATCAGACAGTTTAGACAGTAATAAAATAGACAGTTTAAGCAGGGAAAACAATCTAGCTGCCAACGACATAGCAGGTATGAACCAACGTAACCAGGAAAATGGTACAAGTCCATCTCCAGTTCCCTCATTACAAAAGAGTGCTTCCAAGTCGTCATTAGGGAAACTTGACAAGAGTGGTTCCAAGTCAAGCATTGGTGGTGAAAAGAAAAACTTCAAGATTCAACACATCCAGTCAGGAGAAAGAGCATGGTGGTTGGGATCACCGGAGCCTACGGAGAAGAAACTTTCAGACAAATCTGATTCAGACAGCAACTCTCCTAAAGTCGAACCAGGAAAACCACCTCTATCGAAATCCGAGGGCAATAAGTCAACATCAGCATCGGAGACTGAGATGAAGCCACCTCTTCCACAGAGGCAATACAAGTTGAAAAAAGCTGATTCGGGAAGTAGCAGTGATGTACCCGGGCTAGAAAAATCACCTAGCTCAAAGTCGCTTAAAAGGGACAAAAGTAAACCATCACTTTACAAAATAACGAGAATTGAATCAGGTGAGAGGCCATGGTGGATTCAAGAAAGTGAGGACAACACTTCATCGGGTATACAAGACGTCCCTTCAGATCTCAGCAATAAAGAAATTCCAGTAGAAGAGGTAAAACCTCCATCACCTCAGAAGCAGTTTAAAATCTCAAAAATTGAATCCGGTGAAAGAGCGTGGTGGCTCGGAGACAGTGATGATTCCAAGAAAGATCCTCAACCTCAAACCCTCGGCAAACCTCCATCGCCCTCTCCTAGTCGGTTGTCCAAAACAGCGTCTGGAGTTTCCTTACCTGAAGATTCAACGTCAGAGAAGTCTCCCCAAACTCCACCCAAGCCGTACAGGATATCAAAGATAGAGTCTGGTGAACGGGCTTGGTGGTTGGGAGAGGAAGAGCCTAAGAAGGAACCTCCTTCTGCTCCCAAGTCTTCACCCACTCCTAGAAGAGCGAAGAACCTTCCTCTGTTCATTGGTAGACACACAAACATCGACGATGTCCTCGGGACCCAGGCTCCTCCTCCAGCTGCCTTCAGGACGCCGCAGAACTCATCTTCTGATGGTAAGTTGGCATTAAGAGGTAGTTTCCGTTTCTTACAACTAACCAAAAATATGCATGGCTAAGATGCTGATGAAAAGTAATTTCGTGATTGGTTTCGATAACTGAGTAATGGAACCCTAACCAGTCGCAAAATAGTAATCTGGCGTTGACTAGGCCCTTTTTTTGAAGGAATATGTAAAGTCAATCGCACCTTTAGGAGGAATACCACCACATAAACTTACACTAGGCTAATAGTAGGTTTTTAGTTGATCAGAAACAAATCTAGGGTTAAGTTTTGTCAATGCGATGCCTTTACTCCACATTAATTGTGTTAAAAACTTTACCAAAGGAGCATAAACTTAGCATTAATAACTGGGTCGGGTGCTAAATTAGCTGTTTAGACCAAGAACTAAGCATATCTCAACATACCTTTATTTGACTTTTCATATGTGACAAAGACAATTTCCAAGGAGGAAAGCATTTTTATCATCATTAACTAAAAGACCAAAGCTACATTAGTAAACCAATATTTATTCACAAACATGTTTGCCAGAGTTAAACCTTTGGAATCGTTCAAATTATTTATTAAAAATAACATCAACAAAAGCAAACAAATACAAACAACAAACTGTTTTTACTAATAAGGTTTATATTACCTGGCTTCCTATCTCCGATCCTCGGTAGTTTCATGAAACTACAGCCGTTTCATGCATATGATTGTCACATCCTCAGGTTTGTTGAACGCCCAACTTCTCTATAAAATATCCCTCGCTGTTGAGTTCGTCATGGTATTACAAAAAAACATGTAGACATTTACACACACGAAAACACGCACGAAACATTTAAACATTAAATTAATGAACGACTGCGAAACGTGATGCGGCGCCGGTGATGGATAAGTCGCGACTCAAAAACTGTTTTATACACAAAAGATATGTTGTTCTGGGATATATATCCTGACACATAGATAATTTGATTCCGAGTCTGTTTAAAATATTACAATAATTTGTTTTACATTTTATTAAAAGTTTTTTTAGGGACGTCTACAAACACGGAACGTTTAGGGTCTAGTCCTATTTTAAATTTCATAAACCTCCACTTATCATTGATGACTAACTTAAAGACAATTTTGACATATTTTTAGTGTATATACTTCATTTATATTAACATTGGCCTTATGAGCTGCCAAGTAACTATGTTGGTTGAACAAAATAACAAGGAAAAAGTAAACCAAAGACTTGTACCGTGTTTATAACAAGTCATCCACAGTATACAAAATACAGTAAAAAATATCAGGAAGTGTTGGTGAGAGTTTTGTATTGGTGACGTTTAAGTGCACTGGCATCAACTCAAAATTTAATTTGTATTATAGTTACAATTATAGTTTTCATAATTTTGACCTGCTGTTTTGGGTTTGTATTAGTATTAAAGTTAATTGTATTACAATAAGTTTTAGGGTAAACAATATACGTTTGAATCAGACTTATCTGTCTTCAGCTAATTCATTATACGGAAGTATTTTAGAGAGTATGCTCATGCTGAAGTTTTACTTTTCCTCAATGAAATATTTAGTTTAGTACCAAGAAATAAATCAGACCCCTTAAACACATAACTGTGAATGCTACCGTATCAACCTGTAATTGCGTATTAAATCCTACAAAAACAGAAACACTCATTTTATTTATTTTTAACATTTGTTTACTTTATATACAACATAACATTTCTTATGATTAAAATAAATTAATGTGTTGGATTGCCAGGTTAAAATTCCCATCATACTAAATTGAAATACCACTGGAACTTAAATACCCAAAAGCCAAAATTAACTGTAAATAAAACGTGAGTTTCCTTTCAATTGCTTTTACAATCGAAATAAACTATACCGAGACACGGCTCGGTCCCCAGTACTTTTATAGAACGATGAATTTGAATGCAATAACGCCAACTATTTTTATAACGCTCCGGTGTAGTTTTATTAATTAGAACTATACAGGGTGATTGATATAAGTGAGCCAGCTGTTTTATTCGAAAGTTTTGAGAGATATAAAAAAGTTAAATCATAACTACCTTGGATTTTCTTTTAAATTATGGTAAAGTTGAGCAAATAATCTTTGCCGCCATTTTTCCAATATGGCCGCCAACTTTGATTTTTCTTATGGAAGACCCTATAATTTATGCGTTTTTAAGAAAGTAAATGCCATTTAAACCCTTTTTTATTCTTGACATTTTTTCTCTAAAGCTAGGAGCTACAGCGAGTTAAAACTGAGAAAAAAAATACTTGCAGTGTACATTTTGCATTTACTGTAGCTTCTAAATGAGTAAGTTTAGAGAGAAAATAGTAAGAGTATTTCAGCTTTTTAAAATTCTTGTTTTTTAAAGGCATTTACTTTCTAAAATATTTAATTTATAAAATATGGGGTCTTCCATTAGAAAAATCCAAGTTGGTAGCCATATTGGAAAAATGGCGGCTAAAATGATTTTTTCACCTTGACCAAAATGGTTTAAATAAAAAGTCCAAAGCAGTTACAATTTAACATTTTTTGATATCTCTTATAACTTACGAATAAAACAGCTGCCACACTTATATCATTCACCCTGTACAGATTGGCCAAATAATGAAACTGATTTTAAAGTATGAAAATGCAAAGTTTATGAAGTGTGCTAATATTCCTACAAGAACATTGGATATGCCAACTTTTTGCGGAAAAAGCTGATTATACAGGCGCAGACAATGTGACGAACGCCTGGTTTTCTTACAACGCAATTCAGCTACCCGGCTGTACATATCACGAGGCCTTCTATAGCACGGCGCTCCTCGTAGTTTGGAACTCGCCATCTTTGGGTCTCTCTGATGCTTACTTATTTATTTATTCATTTCCCAACGGTTTACACCAGTTTACAAAAATGGATACAATGTTCAACTTACTGAATTAACATTCAAAAATTTTTAATAGCTTTTTATAAACATGTGAATACAATTTTATTTTCAAATTTGATTATCGTTATCGTTTGTGATTACACATATCATTGATTAAAGTTTGCATTTAAATTGATCATATAGCCTATAAAAGAATGTTAATGAAATAAAACAGAACTATAGATACCTCTAGAATAAAGAGTTTTCAATATATTGCTCGTGAATTAGACTATAGAAAATAAAACAATGATTACACGTGCATTTCGTTTAAACAAAAGTATTATTATGGCACTACCTTGGGACCGAGCCATGGTTTGGTAACTGATGTTTTACCTTTGTACTGTATTTTGTAATTTGCTAGTATACTGTGGATGGCTTGTTATCAACACATGTTACAAGTCTTTTGCTTACTTTTTCCTTGTTCAACCAACATAGTAACCTATAACCTGTAGATTATGCCTTAAGCCTCTTCCAGGCTTTAAGGCCAATGTAAAAATGTGAATTTTCAATTTACTTTTTAAGTAATTAGATTTATGTTGGCAGTTTTAATACGTTTTTAGGCCAAATATAAATTATTTACAACATTTGAAAGAAATCGTCGAAACCAATTTCGAGTTTTTTGTTCAAGCATACATACAGTACAAGCAAACATTGCTCATATAAGATTAGGGGATAAATAGGATATGGGATATCCTAACTCAAACAGGTATCATCAACTAAAAATAATTTATACTAGCTGAGTACCCGTCCTTCGTACGGGGATGGTATACAATACTTATTGTATTTTACTCATCATTAAATTTAATAATATTTTGATTGTTTTGCAAAAAAAAATAAAAATAAAAAAACAAAGCATAAACAGAGTGAGAGGATTTTAAAAATTCAGCTTATTTTTTATAGCTTCAAATTTTGCCCTGTTTTACATTTCAATGTACTATTTGGAATTCCCTTACTGTAAATTTACAATAATTTGAAATTCCTCAGGAACTACTGTTTCGTAAAGGCACGAGCTGTAGGTTCTAATATTTTTTATTACAGTGTTAAAAAATTCAAATCGTAAAAATATATTCAGTCTTTCATATTTATCGTATATACAGCGATTTTGTTACTAACTACAGCTTGTAACATTCAAACAAGCATCTAGTTTTATAACTACTGTACGTTATAGATTTATGACACTTAGGGTTACAACTACTGAACTACTAACTGCAATGGTTGTTTGATTACCGTATGTTTCATTTGTAAAAGTACAGCACCAACGTTGCAGTCCTATTCATGTAAGGCATTGTGTACATCTAAGATCCAGATTACAAAATTACGACATAATGTACAACTACTGTACGTTCCAGATTCAGAAGACAGCAGTGAGGTGTTTGAGATCAGACCCACGGATTTTCGTATCCACGACAGTGTTGCTATGACACCTTCTATATCAACTACTGTATGTTTCAGATTTAAAAGACAGCAGCGAGGAGGTGTTTGAGATCAGACCCACTGATGTTCTTATCCACGACAGTGTTGCTATGACACCTTCTATATCAACTACTGTATGTTTCAGATTCAGAAGACAGCAGCGAGGAGGTGTTTGAGATCAGACCCACAGAAAATTCGTATACACGACAGTGTTGCTATGACACCTTCTATATCAACTAATATATGTTTCAGATTCAGAAGACAGCAGCGAGGAGGTGTTTGAGATCAGACCCACTGATGTTCTTATCCACGACAGTGTTGCTATGACACCTTCTATATCAACTACTGTATGTTTCAGATTCAGAAGACAGCAGCGAGGAGGTGTTTGAGATCAGACCCACGGATGTTCGTGTCCACGACAGTGTTGCTATGAAACCTTCTATATCAACTACTGTATGTTTCAGATTCAGAAGACAGCAGCGAGGAGGTGTTTGAGATCAGACCCACGGAAATTCGTATACACGACAGTGTTGCTATGACACCTTCTATATCAACTAATATATGTTTCAGATTCAGAAGACAGCAGCGAGGAGGTGTTTGAGATCAGACCCACGGATGTTCGTGTCCACGACAGTGTTGCTATGACACCTTCCATATCAAGACCGAACGGAATGATCAAGGTAAAATTTTAACTCTCTGATTGGATTTACATTGTCAATATTCATTACAAGTTTTTTGTCGCAGAAATTGGTTAGAGTTGTATGTTGAATTCACCGACATGTCGTTTAACTCGCTGGCTAGTAGCATATAAACGCGGTATAATCGAGCATTTGGAGGTACAATATGGACCAACCACATATGGAAAAGTCAGTCTTGATACAAGAGTAAATTACAAAAACGGAAGATGAAGTAGTGTCGTTTGGCGTGGACATTGAGCAGTTAAGTCTGAGCATGCATCACGCACCGCACGCGTGTACACTACCACAATATCTCCACAATGACAGGCCGCTCGCGTGAGCTACGCACATCCTCTGGAAGGCACGATATGTGATTCCTGCTAACCGGAATGCGCGTAGGAATGGGCTAAGTTAGTTTGCGTGATCGTTTACATATCTAATCCTCGCTCTAAGTTATTAATGATGAATTGCTCAACTCGTACAGGTCTAAAATAGAAACATAATTATTAGATTAGATTTCTACGACGCTGGCACAATAGGGCTCGCATTTTACGGCAAATATCAGCGACGGTCGAGTGTCTAACAAATGGATTTTCACTTAAGTTTTAAGAATATAAACATAGGTCAAGTTTTTGACTTTTATTTGATACTGAAGGTAAACGTGTGTTCCACCTATTGTAACACCTAACAACACAGATACACCAAGAGTATTGTGATTGGATATGCTGTAATGATTGGGCCTTCTGTATCTGAAAATATATTCTTAAGCCTATATTTGTGATTCGCCGTCAGTGTTAAAACAGGGCTTAAGTAAAAATGAACGAAAATCAACTCTTTTTATTGCTTACGTGTTTTCTAATATGTCCCCACACTTTCAGTTTCCTATAGCCACAAGAGTTGATTTTCGTTCATTTTTACTTACCTTTTTTTTTAACTTTAATTGTGTAGAATTCCCATCCTATTGTAAAAGCTGAAGTCTAAAATCTTTTTCATGTTGATAATTAGGTCGTTTAATTTTGTGGAATTATTTTAAACGTCAAATAACGAGAAACAAACTGTAAAACCCGCCTTAAGCATAAGCCGGGCGTAACTACTGAACATTAGTGAGTACCGCATGTTATTATTGTTTAATCCGTGTTACGATAGTTGGTTTTAACTGAATTAAACTTGTTTACCCTAATCAAACAATACAACTATAACATAACCGATAACTAGTCCTTATGAATTATAACCAAACATTTAATGCTTGGTAATAAAATTTACTCTTAAATAACAAAACGTTCAGTCAAAATTTGTATACTCAACATTAACAACTTAAAAGTACCCATCACCGGATTTAAATTATTGTACAATATGAGAAGTCCTTGCAGTATTCAAAGGTACCTCGCAACAATCGCCCTCACAACAAAGGAAGCGGTTCCTCCGTTAGTCGCAAGGGGCGCTGCAGTCAGTCACGAGCGCTACCTGCAGCTGCTTGTACGGCAAGTTTCTTCAGTTTTGTTTTGTTTTGTGTCGGCGGACGGCGGCCGGTCGACTCGCTGTACGCTGTATGTTGTGCGATGGCTCTAACGTGTAGGGTGCAATATCTCAATGACATCGACCCTTTCGCCTACACTACCAACTTCCCCGAGCCTCCTCGTCCCCCGGTACACACTTTCAGCTGTTCTCTGCCCCTGATCAACCAGATAGCGGCGGTCCACAGGCTGCTGAGGGCTCCTCACAGGGTAAGTTTGGAGTTCGAGGTTTATGTCAGCAGTGCAGAGTGTAGGGCATTGGTTATATCACGGCCTGGTTATATGCACTGTAGTTAGTGTTACAGGATTTCTGTGGGTTTGAAGGGATGGTCTATTGTAGTAACTAATGAACTATGTTTCTGCTTATTCTATACTCTTATGAGCAATGTTTGCTTGTATGTATGTATACTTGCTTGCACAAAGATCTCGATAACTGCTTCTGACGATTATTTCCTTCAAATGTTATATACCGTATAATTTATTTATAACCTAAAAACGTGTTTAATGCAGTTAAAAATGTCAACCAAAATCTAATTACGTAAAAAAAATGAAATCAACATTTTTTTACATTTGCCAAGTCCAAGTAACCATGTTGGTTGAACAAAATAACAAGGAACGTAAACAAAAGGCAACGTGTTTAACAAGCTATCCACAGTATAGTAGCAAACTACAAAATACAGTACAAAGGGGAAAACATCTGGTATTACTTTTGAGCAAAGATTACTTGAAGATAACTCGATATAGGGGTACAATGGAAATAGACTACTGAACCATGGCTTGGTTCCCAAGTAAATGTTACCGCGTTGATAAATTCAGTATTAGTCCGGGTCTATTTTATTAGCTGTGCAGGGAATTTATTCTTTAGAAATAATGTTTCGAGGATTTCAGTGGGTTTTGTTTGGGTGGTGGGTGTAGATAAGTATAAAGTAATAATCTATTACTATATGTTGTATAGTGGTAATAGTGTTGTAAGCTATGTTAATGTAAAGTTTTATGATTTTTCATTGATTTTAGGACGTTGTTAGTGTATAATGGTAAGGAAATGTAATCAGCTGTGTCGTGTAGGGCATTTTTTTGATCTGTATATATTCATGGTGGTATTTGAAGTTAAGTTTACGTTGGTATCACTTTATCCGCTGTACGGAAATGTAGTCTTATAACAATGTTCATAATTGGTTCACGTGACTCTTCAGTTTTCAACTGCAACCGTTTGGCTTTAACAGTATTTTGTCTTGTCGATGTTGTCACTTCTTGGAGACGACGGCTCTTGGTATTTCGCACCCCCAACGGCTCATACATTGCTTTCCACCTTCCAAATACCTATACGCATTTGAAACCCATGTGAACTAGCCAATGCGAGGTTAAAACAGCTTTTAACAATCTTAAACATGTATTTGACCTTTTGTCAGGGTTTGTATTTAAATCGGGACATGTATCAAAATAAATTCATGCCAAAATAAATAGGCCCTATGCCAAGAGAAATGTCTCTTAATTAAGAGGGGGGACATTATTTGGTTAACACAGAAATCAGAACTAGTTTGACTTTATAATACTGTAGGTTTGACTGCGTTTTTTTTTTTTTTTTTTTGTATTGTCGCCGATGGATAAGTATTCGTAATGATGACTGTTGGCACGAATTGTAGGGGACTTGGATTGGAATTCGACTCCAGGAAACCATTCGTCAAGTTGGCAAAAGCGCGGGTGGCGGGGAATAAACGAGGGAATACAAAATTGGAAACGACGAATGAAATATCCCTCTCGTAGGAAACTTTCAGAGTACGCGGATTTTCACTTGGATGGTTGAATACTAGCTTTTGCCATCAGGACCATAAGATACAATGATTGAGCCTTTGCCATTTAAACCAACGCCCAGTATAGAATGGTGGTTTAAAAACAAAAGGACATAAAAAAGGACCCACGACATGGTGTAAAACTAATGTGGTCTCCTTTATATGAATTTTTATATTTGTTCAAAAATATCCATACAAGTTATTATAAATAAATTTATACATAATAATTGACAAACGAATTTAATTTATCTCCATAAAATAGTAAGTACTGCTGCCATTGTTTAAGACTTAGTGAATAACAATAAATCATCGCCTGGTGACTAGACAGCTCCGAGTTTGCGGCTGTAGAGTCTATTTTAACCAGAAATCAAAGCTTGACAGTTTAGTTCCAGTGTTCCAGAACCGACCTGGTTGGCACAGTCTTCTACTTGTGTAGTCGTGATTTAATTACTCAGAGCTTAAAGCTTATTTAAGCGCGTTTTAATATACACAGTGTAAATAAACCAGTAGAAAAGGTGCCCATAGTGTAACCGTGATTGTAGTTCCATTCAAACAGGTAATAGCTCAAGGGTTTTATATGGTTAATATCTGCGCATTAATTGTATTGATATACGGTATATAAAAGTTGAATCAATAATAAACTATTACGAGGAACACAAATAGTTAGTTGTTTTGTTACGATCAACCAATCTTACTAATATTATAAATGTGAAAGTTTGTGTGTTTGTTTGTTTGTTTGTTTGTTTGAAGTTCAATCACGCATAAACAACTGGATGGATTGGGCTGAAATTTGGCATGATGATAGCTCACATTCCCGATTAACATATAGGCATATTCTTATCTCAAAAATCCTTTCGGGCTCCGCCCCAGTGGCTCTGTTGTTCCCCATGTTAACCTTATGAGTATTCATATTTAAAGGGAATTAGAGAATTTAGTCAGCTGTTTCAACTAAAAAGTTGGTTCTATGATATACAAAAGCATTAAAAAGTTATAAGATTTACCAACAGGTTGCAGCACTATAATTTTTTTGCATTTATGTAAACAGCTAATTTGAACTAAGCAGCAACAAAAAGCTGTGATACGCAATGAGAACTGTAAAAGTAGGATTGTTTACTGTTATGTTTTTTGTTTTTTATGTTAATTTGTAATAATTTATTTTTCTTTATTGTTAATGTGAAGTAGTAGAACATTATGGCTATGGTAGATGTGTAATACCATAGTATGGTACAATTGATCAATTTTAGAATTAGAAGCGAATTTTATCAAACTTTGTCCTCCCCCCCCCCCCAATTGCAAACGCAAAGCTTGAGTATAACTGCAATAAGCATTTTAAACTTATGTGCCAACCCCGTACGAAGGACGGGTATTCAGCTAGTAATCAAATAAATAAATAATGTCAAATCTATTTGTGGATATACAACACAACGAACAATTACATTACCACCCACGAAGATAGCAAGAGGAGATAACGCACTTTTAACGACTCTGAATAGACGCAGAATACCCAAGTAATATAAATACCCTTAGCTGATTTGAATGATGAATTATTCATGATAGCCTCAAGTATTGATACAATGACTATGAGATAAAATCATTTTATTTGGCGGGCTATAGTGTTAACTATTCTTTAAATAATGTTTATGTCCCTCTATTAACGTTTAATCACAGACAAGGGAAACTTTTGTTTCCTTAGTCAATGGTTTAATGTACGTGACTATTTCTTGTGAAGACATGATTTTGTTTTGACGATATAATATGATAGATAATGGAACGATAATTCCGCGATACTAACGATATAGGTAGTGGATTGACAACGTCAAAACGGATTTAACTTTTTTACGTATTGATGAACAATGTTTTGACTACAGTAATAACAAATTTCAAACGAAAGAGGATTGTAATTTTCTCAGACCTAGGTCTTATCATAATGACCACGGCAATAGCGAGATTCTTATACGGATCACTTGTACCTACCTGCAACACATACAAGCTTTGAATACTTGTTTGATACTTCATGCTAACAATTTTCAAATAGCTATGGAATTAACAATCAATGCATACTGAATCACCACGGGGTTATATTATGAGATAATTTGATTATGTCAAGAAAAACACAATTATTTAATTAACATATTATTTATGTACAGTATTTAGAATTACAGCGCCAAAGTTGTGAAGTTGTGTTAAGCGTCTCGGAGTTTGGGACAAGAGACTCGGGTACGATCCTGCCTGAACACATCATCAAACATTTGGGGGTTGCTTTCTCTTTGAAGTGTTTGGAACTCTTTAATACCTAATGCCACTGGTGTAGACTAAAAAAACATATTTTGGTATCAATAATCCTTGTTTAGAAAAGTAAAATGTGCAAAATCTGTTTTGTTCAAGTATACTAGTCATAATTTACCGCCAGCCTACTTTACCTATTAGAGTCCTTGAACCTCTCTTATCATTGTTATCTTTAACATGATGTGAGGCCGAGATTCATCAGTATTTTGTGTAAAACCTAAACCTTGAAACACGACGTTATCTATAAATGACACAGAACATTCCAGGGTTCCATGACGCAAGCGATAGGTGTAGAATTTACATTGATACCTTATTCATCCGGGGATCCAATCCCTCCAAGTAGTTCGGATGAAAAACTGGATGAAATTAAATAAGTTTAATATGGAAAAAGGCAGCGATATTCCGGGGTAGTTTGCTATATTTGGTACCCCTTGTATTAAATCAAAGACATTTTATTTACAAAACCGCCTGAAAAGAGTAGCCTATGCCTATTCCGAGTTCTTTGACTACTGAATCATTTAAGTTTTTTTTTACTCGAAACTGTGTAATTTATGTTGTAGACTAGTAAAAATAGCTTAAAATTTACCTGTACCTAGAAGTAATTGTAATATAATTTCTGGCAATGGATTCTTATGTAAAAATAGCTGAAAAAAACGATGGTGAAAAGTCTACCACTCTACGGAGGTGCGTTAACCTTGTATGAAAGGTTTTTCAAAATGGCTACCGGAAATATTTATGTTTTTAGCCAATAAGTCCTAAATTATTACAGGTAGCTTAAATAAGTAAATGAGTAAATTTTAAAGAATTAAATTGCGCAACTTTTGGTATATAATAAGTTAAGTTAAGTACTTACATTCTTACAAGAAAATAATGTTGTCAAACAATTTTAATAATTTATTGTAATTCAGGGAAATTTTTAATAATGGATTTGAAGTTGGCAACAATGATTGTTTTGTTCCAACTGAGAGTTCTTATTGTTGTTGTTAATATTTCAACATGTTTCTAGTTTACTTTCATGAGTTTCTTGTTAGTCCCCCTTCGTATGACGATTGTAAAATAGAAAAATGAATATCGAAACCTGTTTTTTTTTTGTGAAGAAATTATACAAGACCGTTGTGAGGTGTCTTCTCTCAC